GGTATTTGCTGGTTCTCTGAACTACTCAAAATTTCCCCTACTGGTTCTCCAGAACTGGTCAGAACTGGCTGAAGACCACGTCTGATGCTGTAGGTATACTATATTAAAATATCTTTTAAATTGAACTCACAGCCTAGTTACCAACTGTTCCAGAGGAAGGGAGTTACTTTAAGACAATTCCCTAATGTTGGGTGGGCTCCTGACATACCTTCTGCTTGTCCAGGTCGGGCAGGCAGAAATTCTCAAGGATCAGTGGTCCCTAAGATACCCAGAGCCACATATAGCTGTAGAGGGAGCAGCCAGCCTCTTGAATTGAGCTCATAAATCTGGTATGGCATGGATGCTGATGGATGCTGGCATGGATGCTGATCTTTTCTTATTAAGCAGAAGGTTCCATGCAGTCTTCAAGGAAAGCACCGTATAGAACAAGTAGATGATTGTGACCAAGTCAGTGTCAACTTTGCTTTATGATTTATAATATGACATGAATCCAGAGTTAATTTCTTTCTTTCTTTCTTTCTTTCTTTCTTTCTTTCTTTCTTTCTTTCTTTCTTTCTTTCTTTCTTTTTCTTTCCTTTCTTTCTATTCTATTCTATTCTATTCTATTCTATTCTATTCTATCTCTTTCTATCTATTCTACCCCTCTTTATCTATCTATTCTAGCTGTCTATCCTCTCTCTCTCCATTCTCTCTCTCTTTATCTATTCTACCTCTCTTTATTTATTCCAGGGGTTTTCAAACTTGACAGCTTTAAGACTGGTGGACTTCAACTCCTAGAATTCCTCCTCCAGTCATGTTCCACTCAGGAATTCTGGGAGTTGAAGTCCACAAGTCTTAAACTTGCCAAGTTTGAAGACCCTTGGTTGGATCTCCTGCTTGGGTGAGGGGTTGGACTAGATGACCTAGAAAGTCCTTTCCAACTCTGTTAATCTGTATATATGATGTGCTAGATGCTGATGTTAAAATTGTCCTGTTTCTTGCAGGAGAAGGAAGGTTTAGCAGGTTGAAAAATTTGAAGCCATTACTCTTGTCTTTAGCTATTGTCTAGTCAGGTATGGTGAGTGATGGTTCTACTCTCACAACTGCAGTCCTTCCAGGCTTGGGGTTCTACTCTGGGAAATACCCCTGTTTAGTGAAGGATTCTCCACCCTGCTGGAGGTGTGGCTCTATTCAGCCTCTCTTGCTTTGCTGAAATGTGTTAAGGTATAACTTGTGCTTAACTGCTCAAAAAAGTTTGGGGTGTTGTAAGCCAGGAAGCAGGGCTTGCTTGTTTTCCCTGCTGCATTAACGGCTTGCATCTTGGAAAGGGAAACTGATATGGTCCTCACCCTGAAAACAGGAAAGGATATAACCCAGCACAAAAGCACTGAACTGCGTATGCCTTGATCAATATTATTAATAGATATTATCAGTGACTGGGAATTTAAATGCTCGGTTTCGAGAGAAAGCAAGTCCCAGTACTGAAACCTACCGGGATAAACCCAACTTTCTTCTGGATTGAAACCTGCACAAAACAGATCGGGATTCCTTAGCAATAATTCAACTTGTTTGTTCAGGTTCAAGCATCTCCCTTGTTTCTGTTCTTCAACTTTCAGAGAAGGCAATTGGGGTTCATCACGTGTAATAATACCTCTCATGTCATATTTGATGGACTACATTTAAACCTTGCTTAGATTACACTAGAAAACCATTGCAAACCCTTTGTGCTTAACAGAGTAACAGAGTTGGAAGGGACCTTGGAGGTCTTCTAGTCCAACCCCTTGCTCAGGCAGGGATCCCTATACCACTTTAGACAAATGGTTGTCCAATCTCTTCTTTAAAACCTTCGGGGTTGGAGGCAACTCATTCCACAGACCATCAACCAGTTCTGAAATTAGTATGTGAAAGAGGTGCTTTATTATTAAGCTGTGGCCCTTTTACACTGATTCACAGACTTTTTGGAGACACACAGCAGCCACTAACGCTGTTAAATGATATAAAAATGGTTTAGTTTGTCAGCAGCTATCTCTAATATAATCAGAAAGTTATGAAGCTGTAAAGGGCTTCAAGGAACATCAGCCAAACTCTTCAGCATGCAGGAAAACCAGTTAAATTATCTTTGACAGTTGGCTATCCAGCCCTTCCTAAATGTTTAGAAGTTATCTAATCAACACATTCCAAATCTTTCAACCTTTCTCAAATTATAAGAGAACTTATTCTGATTCCCCCCCACAGCTTAGATGAACGCTCCATAAAGATGGGACTTCCTTCAGCTGTTGATCTCTAGGGACAATCATTTTAAAACATGGCATTAACAGCTAACCTCTTTTTTAAGGTCCCAAGTGTTTTCCTTCCCACAACTTTGTTTTGCAAGCTCTGGCTATGTTTTGATACCGCGCAGGGCCTTATAAGTCTAGATATTTAAAGTTGACGGGTGCAGTCCAGCATTCCATCTGCCTCTCGTCAAGTGGTTCCAGCTGCATTGTGTCTCAGGACATGAGACAAAGCTTGGGAGAGCATCAACAGCAGGCTCCTAGCTGCATCCAGAGCAGGCATGTTTGAGGAACACTCATGTTCTACCCCAATCAAGCCCCAGACGGAGGGCTGAATTTACTGCTTTCCAGATTCTGAGGCCGCCGGGGGCTCTTGTTAAGCAGCTGCAATCCTAAACTATCCATAAGTTGAGACATCCTGTTATGTGAATTGAAGCTAGGAATACATCGAGCAAGCCACATTTTAGAGAACTCTGGCTTGTTTGTTAGGTGGACATATAGCCATCACATTTCAGTCAAAATTGTCACCCTACCAAGAGCACGTCCTTAAGATATTTCTGCTATTTGTTTTTGCCTCTCCAATATTCTGCTTCCATGTTCTTTTGGATCCCATATTTGTGCACATGTGCATGGACTTACTTGGTTCAGAAAACAAGCTAGTCTATAGGAGAGGAGAGCTGAATTTGCAAATTGTTTAGATGTGCCTCTTTTCTCAATGCAGCAAAACCGATCAACTGACTGCATTCCGAGAAGCAAAGATTTCGTCAGATTGTCCAGCAGGCCAAGAGATTGTCATCTCCTCTGAGTAAAGCCATGTGAACAATGTGTGGTCCAAGTGTTGCTATTTAGATTTCAAGGGCTAGGTAGAAACAAAGCTAGTTCTTAGAACAACGCACCACAAGGGGACGGCGTCAAAAATCTCAGCCTGTGGAAGAGTGAATATTGCTATGAGAATTACACCCAGCTTCGTCAGAAATTGCAGTTGGACATCAAATAATGTTCCGAAGAACAGTCATTTTTAATTGTGCAGCAATTAAAAAGCTGCTGCACGAAGACGCATGCCCAAAACTTAAACTGAGAATTACAGATTCTCGGAAGCATTTCAAAAAGTGTCAACATTTGCAAAATCTTGCATAAAATCTAAACAAGAAGTCTTTGCAATTTCCAAACAAGTTTGACGTATAATATAATCTTCATCAAGAAATAGTTCCTGTGGTAGAATTAACAGTCTTCAAAAAAGAATAACATTAGCAGTGTATGATTGTTGTTGTTTTTTTTAAAAAAGGGCTCATGTTTAATTTCAAGATACTGTTGGTTGCGCTCAGCTGAGAATCGGTTAGCAGAAGCCAAATAGCCAAGGTTGCCCATTAAGAATATCTCTGGCCAAACATCCTTATTGCGAAGAACCTGATAAAGAGGGCATTTCATCTGGAAAACAGGATGTAGCAGTAAGAAGTGTCCCTTTGTGCTGAATTGTTCATTCTTAAAACTGGAAATGTGGTACCAGAAAACCTCTTCTTACAGAAGCAAAGGCACTGTCTAGACTCCCAGAATTCTGGGAGTTGAAGTCCACAAGCCTTAAAGTTGCCAAGGTTGGAGACCCCTGGTCTAGATTCTACATCAAATGCTGAGTGCCTGCTATTGCTTTCCGAGCTAAAATTTCAGAATCCCTCTGTCCAATAATTAGTGTAAGACTGTCACCGTGTTTCTCAACCATGGCAACTTCAGCTCCCAGAATTCCCCAAGGAGTAATGATTGAGTCCATCTACTCCTTGCAACCTTTAAACTCCCGGTAGGCGAGGAGATCAAATCTCTGTGCATCCGTTCGGTAGACTCCTTGATTTTGCAAGGCGCCCCAATGTCAGATTATTTTAAATATGGGGAGTTGGTTTTTAAAATCCCTATCTATGTACAGAAGAAAAACTTTTTGTCAAGATTGCAATTTGATTCTTTCTCCAGGTGTGGTTTGCCTTAAATAGCCATCCATATTGCAAGTAGAAAAGCTTTTATTGGTACCAGTGGGAGATTTTATACCTCTTAAAGCTACCTGTGGGAGTTGGGAGATCATTTTTTGCTACTGGGGGTGGGCTGAGGTGAAGATTGCCTTCTCTGCTTCTGTCTCAAGGAAAATGAGTCATTTTAGTGCGTAATTTAAAAAAAAAAACCAGTTGTTACCTATCTAACATTGTGTAGCTTGACCCTGAGTCAGATGGGATTCAATTTCATGTGACTCAAATAAAAATATTTGTTTCCACGTGGATGGAGAAGACCCTTCCCCGAATTTGTCCTGTTCCTGCATTCGTCAGATCATGTGGTCTCATACCTGAAAGACCAGTGGTGGCATTCAAACATTTTTATTACCAGTTCTGTGGGCGTGGCTCAGTGGGGGTGGCGTGGCTCGGTGCGCGTGGCAGGGGAAGGATACTGCAAAATCCCCATTCCCCACCCCCACCCCACTAACCTGCTTTCCAGCTCCATTCTCCTGTCCAGGGCAACCAAAGAAGACCCAGCCAATCAGCTGGGACTCAATGGAGGCAGAGAAGAGATGGGGGCAGGGCCAATCAGAGGGTGTATTTGCCGGTTCTCCAAACTACTCAAAATTTCCACTACTGGTTCTCCAGAACCTGTCAGAACCGGCTGAAGACCACCTCTGTGAAGAACCTCAACTCTCATAAATACCATACGGTAACTATGAGGTCCAATGATCTCGAACTCTGTTGAGATATATCGTTTTCTTGTCTCTCCTAGGTACGGACACTTTTTGTGAGTGGCCTTCCGGTGGACATCAAGCCCCGAGAACTATACCTCCTTTTCCGACCATTTAAGGTGAGAAGGAATTAAAAAACAAATGTCTGAGTCTAACTGGGGGGAGCCCCCTTGTTCAATGGTAGGGCACCTTCCCAACATGCAGAAAGTCCATGACTTATGACCATAATTGAGCCCAAATTTTCTGCTGCTAAGCAAGAGAGTTGTTAAGTGAGCTTTGTCCCATTTTACGACCTTTCTTGCCACAGTGGTTAAGTGAACCACTGCAGTTCTTAAATTAGTAACCCAGTCCTTAAGTGAATCCAGCTTCCCCGTTGAGTTTGCTTGTCAGGAGGTCACAAAAGGAGACCATACAACCCCAAGGCACTGCAACCATCATAACTGCGAGTTGGTTGCCAAACATCTGAATTTCGATCACGTGACCCTGGGAATGCTGCAATGGTTGTGTGAAAAATCGTCACAAGTCATTTTTTTTTCATTGCTTTGTAACTTCAGCCACTAAACGAATAGTTGTTAAGTCGAAGGTTCTGAGTTGTCTCGTTAGACATCACCAAGAAGGCTGATAAAAAAATTGTCCCAGGTTTCCACAAAGTTCAGTATTCTGGCCTTGGGGCTACTTCTATGCTGTTGTCTTTGCTTACTAAAGCCCCAAATATACATTAAGCTTCTGTAAGACAAGAGAAAGTCCCCCAGCCTATCCTGGTCCCATAATCTGCTAGAATCCAGATTATGACCACCTTGAAGTACAACTCACATCAATCCCAGAGAGCATCACAGAGGAACAATGAAACCTGTTGGACGTTCTAGTTTCCAATATCTGGAGTTCCTTGCTTTCCATCTCTGGCATAATGGACACAGAATCAAATCCACCCACCGGTCTGATTCAGTAGAAAGCAGCCATTTCCTGTGACTCTATTTTCTTTAGTGTATTGATTAAGCAGTGTTTTTTGTCTTTTTACCGAAGGGAATTTTGCCTGAAAATTGCATTACAATACCAGGAAATACACGTAGCTCAGGCTGAACTGTGGAATCCTTGATCCTTGGTTCTTGCCTTGCAGATATTTGATGATGTTACCTAGTTGGGTAATGAAATGTCTGCAAGAAGACCACAAGCTCAGAGAGCACCCCACAATTGTATTACAACTAGCAAAACACAATAGTTGACAAATGTGTGTGTGTGTGTGTGTGTGGCAGGGGGGGAATACTGTCAGTAGAGTAACTGCATCTTAGTTTAACTTGTTCCTCAGGTCCACCAGAGATTTGTGTTGCTCAGATCTCATTGCTATTCTGCTTCCTTTCTAAGGGAACTGATATAACAAATGTACTGATTCCTCTCTCTAGGGTTATGAAGGATCGCTCATCAAACTAACATCCAAACAGGTAATGCCTCTCCTTCACTCCTGTCCTGTCCAGCCACTCAGTGCAGTTTAAATCAAGGACCAGTTCACCCCCTAATTCCTAAGGGAAAGGAACCTGGCAGGATTGTAGCTGATGCTTCAATTAAGCAATGCAAAGCACCTGTCCAAACACCTTGGCAACCTCCAGACTTCAACTCCCAGAATTCTCCTCAATGGCTGTGCCGGCTGTGGAGTTTTGGGAGTTGAAGTCTACGCCTCTGGAAATCGCCAAGCTTGGGAAACGGTCCTAGGTTATGTCCTCAGCAGTGAGGGAGCCAGCTGTGTTTGGGTCCTAGAAGAAATGTTCTATTTGCTAGCAAAACAGCCCATCTACCTGGGCTTCTGTTTTGGCACCAGCTCTGGTGAAGGTTACTTCATGTTGTTCTAGAACAAGCCTGACCAACTTGGTGGTGGCCCAGTGGTTAGAGCGCAGCATTGCAGGCTAACTCTGCCCATTGCCAGGAGTTCGATCCTGAATGGTTCAAGGTTGACTCAGCCTTCAGTAAAACGAGGAACCCAGATTGTTGGGGGCAAGAGGCTGACCCTGTAAACCGCTTAGAAAAGCACTATGAAGCTGTATATAAGTCTCAATGCTATTGCTATTAGTGCTACCCAGATGTGTAGTTCCATTTCAATAATGCTCACCTGTTCTGGGAAAGGCTACCTATACAAATGATGATACTTCATCATTTAGCCAGATGGGCCACAGGTTAAAGGTCTGTTTCTCCTTCCTGGGGGAAAATAGCATGAGGTGGCTGCTGTAAGGAACATCACTTGGCTGAAATGGACACAAGATGGAAATGAACAAATATATCTGGTGCTCCAGAACATTTAGGAGGCTTCTCCAGAGATGAATGGCTATAAGTATTCTACAGAGGTACTCTTGGTGGGCTTTATAGGAGATAAAGCTTCACTATCCTTTGTTTTGTTTCTGCAATCTGGTCGGGATTATGTACATGCATGTAGCTCAAAGTATTTGTCTTTCCAGCCAGTAGGGTTTGTTACTTTCGACAGCCGCTCTGGTGCAGAAGCTGCAAAGAATGCCTTGAATGTAAGTATTAACACTCTTGTTGTATTGGTGCTCACAAACTGTAATTCAGAACTTGGTTAATCGCTTGGCCCCAGTTCAACACAGAAGGCAAAGCTGCCGTATGTTTTCTGCTCACGTCTTAGTAACCCTGAGTGATAGGGAAAATATCTCTTTCCTGCTACTTAATGGGTGTGTGTCATAAACACAGGACGATAAGAACTGATAAGGACTGGCCAGAACTACCCATATTGACTACCAAAGTCAGATAGGAGTAAATAGGAAGGTTATACTATTTCCATTTACTCCTAATCTAAAAAGATGGCAAGGCAGTGTGCTAGATGATTTCAATAAATTAGCATCTGTTACAGAAGTGTAATATAAGTCCTTGGTGAGATATATGGACCAACTCCCATGATTCTCTAACCAGCCATGTCATGCCGTGCTCCAGACAACCAGGGGGAATTCTGGGAGATGAAGTCCATACACCTAAAAGCTACCAAGGTTGAGGAACACTGCATTACAGGAAAATTAAGATTGAGCTTAACGTAAGATGGAATTTGTTGCAGCAGTGATAATAAATCACCCCAGAGATTGTAAACACACTGCAGCTTTTCACGTGAATATTATTAATTAAACAGATGGTACAAGGGGAGGGGTGTAACAAGATGGGTGGCAAACAAATTTAATAAATAATAAATACATCTTAATTGCCCTGTACCTGGAAGGCAAGGTTGCTTCTCCATAAGCATATTTGTGTCCCTAAGTTGAAATTGGCAGACAGTGTGGAAGGTGGAGGGTGAGCCCCATATAATTTAAATATTTTAACCACAGCAGATGCATTCAAGTGGTTGGGTCTGGGTTTTTGCTTTTTGGGAGTGGAAGGGTACAGAATAGGTGTCCAGAGCCTTAACAATTTTTTTAAGACAAAAAAGGGAGAATAAAAATGAATTCTGAGCCATTCTAAGAAAGAACCAATTTCATCCAGGCTTTGCGAGCAACGATTCTGTTGCTGTTTATTTTAATTGCTTATACTGTTATTCCTTTAATCATTCACCAGTATATATACATATACATTTTTCAAGAGTTATATTAAGTGGAATTTGTTTCAGGGAAATGCAACTTTAGGAAGTAGCTTAACTGAAGTTTGGGTCTTCCGTAGGTAGGGCATGTGCACATTTATATGCGTCTCGGTCTTCAGTCAGTCGGTTTCTGGATGAGCAAATGCAGTTTCTTCCTGCTCTCGTAACCCTTCTCCTTCTGTCCTTCTCCTGCAGGGGATCCGCTTCGACCCAGAGAATCCCCAGACGCTGCGGTTAGAGTTTGCTAAGGCAAACACCAAGATGGCAAAGAGCAAGCTGATGGCCACACCAAACCCCACCAACCTTCACCCTGCCCTAGGCGCACACTTCATTGCACGAGATCCTTGTGAGGAGCGGGTGGGGGAATCAATAAGCAAGAAGGGGGGAGGGGTTGGGGTTGGGGGGTCTCTGGGAAGGTGTGCACATTCCTAGTGTGTCCCACTATGGAGATTCTCAAGTCATCCCGGTCATGATTGTCCCAAAGATGCTTTTTCAAAAGGCAACTAGACTTTCTTGGGGGGTTTTTTCCACCTGAAAACATTTTGCTTCTCCTTCAACAAGCTTCTACAGTTCTGACTGCGTTCTGACCGTTCAGTAAGAACTGAAGAAGCTTCTTAGATGAGAAGTGACAAATAGGCTGAAAAACAGCTTCTATCTCAGGGTAGTAGCTCTTTTGAATTCTACTGTATAGTGTAGTATTGGTGCGATGTTGCGGGTTTTCGGTTCAATGTGTGGAGGGTGAAGGATGTGTATTTGTGTTTATTTTCATGGTCATGATGTGCCCTGAAGATGGTGGTTGATTTCATTGTACGAGGTGCAATGACAATAAAGTAAAGTGAACTAAGTGAAACATTTTCAAGGGGAAAAAAAAGAAAGTCCAGTGGCCTTTTGAAAAAGCACCTTTACATCCCACTGTAATGTTTTTGCTTTTTTTTTTTTCATGCACAAGACACCCCTAAATTCAGTTTCTATGGTTAGCGCAAGTGGGAAAAATCTTGAGCCCCTGGGTGGCGTGCTCTTCCTCAACCCCTAGGATGTGGCTACTGGGTATTCTCCAATCTTTTGACTGTGACTACTGGCTACCAAAGCTTTCTTGGAACACAATTGCTGGAAATCAGTGACAGAGTAGTGTTAATTCAAAAAACAAACTAAGCCCTGGAATCCTGACTCTTGGTGTCCTCATGCTGTTCAGGAGGACAGACTCTTACAGAAACATTAAGCATAGCCCCCAGGCAACAAAGAAATGGGCCATTTCCTGATGCGGTGAGATCTCAAAAGTCTACATTGTGGGAGGTTTATGAACCTGGTTAGGATAGCTCTTGGATGAGCCCTCTGGACAGCATCTTCTTGACCCCTGAGCTAGTCTTACAGGGTGGTGCTAAGCAGAGTTTGATGGGAGACCCTTCCTGCAGAATTGGGGCGAGGACATTTGTGTCTGGGGTGGGCTTTTGAAGATGTTTGCATGAATCAATTAATCTTTCGTTTCTTTCCATCGATCGGACAATCTGTAAGTACTCTACCACATTTCCAAATGTTGCCAAACGCTATCGTTCTGCCCAAAGAGAGTTAATGCTTTTGGGTTCATCATCCCTCTCGTGACATCACAAGCTAAGCTTCCTGTAGCTCTCAAAAGACCAAGATAGCGCCTCGAAAATGTGGCGCTAGGCTCAAAAACTTCCTCGCCCAACTCTTGAGGTTGCCTTTCCTCTACCCATCCTTTTCTAGATGATCTGACTGGAGCTGCCCTGATTCCAGCATCTCCAGAGGCGTGGGCTCCCTACCCCCTGTACACCACGGAGCTCACCCCGGCCATTCCACATGCAGCTTTCACCTATCCGGCTGCTGCCGCTGCTGCCGCTGCTCTTCACGCTCAGGTGAGTTCACAATGGAACATTTCCCTCCCCCTTTTGGGTGTGGAGCCTCCTCTTGCCAGGGGCAGAACATCTCTGCTTCAAAACTTTTATTTTGGGCATAGGGTTCTTCCCAGGATGGAGAATCTCAGTGAGTGGGTGGAGAGTTGATAGCCGAGAGATACTTCCCTGTCTGCATCCTCAGGGAGGAAGCTTCTGTCCTCCAAACCTGCCTTAAATTTGAGGAAAAACCGTGGGCTGCCATTCCCCCTCTGCTTCTCAAGCAGATTTCTTTGAGGAGATTAATTAAGCAGACCTCCAAGGCAGGGATGTCCAACCCTGGCAACTTTTTAAGACTTGCAGACTTCAACTCCCAGAATTCCCCACCCAGCTTATGCTATCCTGGCTAGGGAATTCTGGAAGTTGGAAGTCCACAGGTCTTAAGGGTTGCCAAGGTTGGACATCCCTGCTCCAAGGGATCCAAGCACGAAAACAACACTCTCCAAACTTGGCAAGTTTTAAGACTTGTGGACTTAAACGCCCGGTATTCCTGAGCCGGAGGAGGAATTCTGGGAGTTGAAGTCCACAAGTCTTAAAGCTGCCAAGTTTGAAGAGCCCTGCACTAAAAGGACACGAGCTCAAAACGGACTGTCCCATTGCAGCAGGACGGAGGGCTTGAATCGGCCTCTCGAAAAGCAAATGCAAAAGTCTTTCAATTTCTCAGATCGAGTGTTTTGATCCCATTCCAAATAGCCCTTGATGGGAAATGCCTATTTTACCTCTTGGCGGGTGTGGGGGTGTGGAGGGGAGGACAATGAAAAGAATTGACCGCCTCCAGTTCAAAGGAAGAGAAGTCAAGAAGGTGACCCACAGTTGGAGAGGTGGATAAGAAGGAGGTGGTCATGTTCCATTTCTGGATACTGTCCGATCCGAGGCGCTCCCTGTTGAGAACAAGGCCTCTTTCAATCTGGCAAAGAAGGCTATGAAGTCAGCTTGAACTCCTTCCCTCCAAAAGCCGTTAAACTACTGTTAATTTGGGTTCTGCTGCCAGTACAAGAACATCTGTTCTTGTAGGGCCTGACCCCTTTCTCCTCTGTCGGAGGAATTGAGGATAGATTGCTCTGCAGACGGTTTAAGGAAGGAAGAACCTAGTTTGGCATGGTGGCTACGCCATAAGAATGTATACAAACAAGGGTAAAATAGATAAAATGCACCAGGTCCAAAGGAGGGAATAAATAACAGTGTTTACAGATGATTTTTTTCTCTCTCTCTCTCTCTCTCTCTCATTCCATGGAGTCAGAGTTATCCCTTAAGGGGAATTTTAGTAAATCCACATTCATTTCCTGATTGCAAAATTTTTTTATTAGAAGCTTCACTTCAAAAAGACTCCCTAAGCTACGTGTGGGTGTATGTAAAAGTACATGGATGCCATAACAAGCAAACCTTGTTTTAGGATTAGAGTCTTAAAAACACACACACACACAGATAAAAGATGGGAAAGGAGCTTTTTTTTTAAAAAAAAAAAAAGTTCCACTTTTTCAAAAGAGTTTGGAGAACGATCTTGCTTCCATTCCCTTAACAAAGGAACACTGGACATACGTCATTTCTGACAAGTATCTCCATGCTCGCTTTTATATGTGTACATCTCCCTGGCCCACTGTTTAGAGAAGGCAGAACACTCCTACAGAAGTGATGCAGAGTTCATAGTAACTCTTGGGCTAAACATACGAGTTGCAAAGGATGAGCTTTGCACTGCAAAATTTAAAGATTTGGCCTCGGAAAAGTGCCGTGCCGATGAAAGACCATCAGGTCCCGTGTTTCTCGTAATTTGGACAATTTGGAACACAGGGCTGCGATTATTTCTTCTCCCCCCTTAGAAAGAAGGTTTCTCCAGGCTGAAGTCTGCAGGTTTGTCCTTTAAAGCAAACGAATGTGTTACTCATAAAAGCCTTTTGAGTTAAACATTACTTCACTCTCCTTACTAAGCAACGGGCAACTCAGAGCTCCGCCCACCACGCGGGCCGAAATTCTGGTGTCTTCATGAAATAATGGAAGAATTGTTTTCTCGATTTTTTGACAGGAGCATAACGGGGATGTTGGGTTAACCCCTTGGCCTACTTTTTAATCAATTGAGGTCTTCGATTTCATTGTTGCTTGGCATAGTCAATGGGAAGGTTATTTATGGGTCATAGTCCAAGGAAATGAAATGGATAATTATTGGGTACAAACCCTTGGTCATCCATTTCCTTGAAGATCCTAAGTGAACCTTTATTGAGATCACACTCCTATGATTTGACCCAGCTGTCATATCTATAGACGTGTTGACATCCCGATCTTTCAATTATTGTGTATTTTTTAATTGCTCCATAGTAAACTTAACCAACCCGTGGCTGAACTCACTAAGCCATGATTTATTTTAACTCACCTGAAAAAGCTTGGTGATTATGTTCACAAATACTACCAGCCCAGAACAGGCCATGCTATGACTCGGTATAATGTATGAGTCGCCCCGTGGATGGGTTGTACACACAATGGGGTATAATCTTTCCTAGTCTCTGGTAGCCTCCAGATGTTTAGTATGGGAAGAGACTGGCTAAGGATGATGGGAATTGAAGGGCGATGCATCTGAAGGACAGCAGGTTGGTGAAGAACAAGCATCTTCAAAGGAGGTTCAGCTAGTTAGACCATCTACAGTACTGATGCTTTTCCTCTTATTGAAAATAAACATCCCAGTTTCAATGATCTGAGAAGTGTCTTGAGCAAGGAAGGTCCACAGGTTCCTAAGGGAGAGAAGCTTCGAGGATGGAGAAATTCCTTGAACCTTGTTCTAATGAACTAATGGACACCCAAAACTCATAACCTCTGTTGCCTCTCAGGGCCGGTTCCTCCACCCCTGACCTCACCCAAGAAATGTCCTCTACCCCCTGGCCTCTACTACCCATCAAACAAGCCTCTTGCCCCCTCCACAATGGCCAGTTATTGGTTGAAATGACCCCTCCTTTGATGTCTTCAGTGACCTGCAGCCAGGATGCCTACGCAGGCTAGCCCTGGGACCTCAATAGTCCTGACTAACCCTTGCTAGAGTGGACTAGTTCATTCCCAGAGGCCTTTCCAGATGGGCCCGTCAGGAACAGGCTGGTAAGACGAAAAACATCTCTCTGCCATTTGGGGCACAGTGGGTTGTTTTGTTCTTTTCTTTCTCTCTTTTTTTTTTCCTTCCAACTTTCTGCAAGCTTTTATTTTGTTTTTGCCCCCATCTGTTCCTTAGCAACCCAATGCATGGGCCTCCACGCTATTCACCCACCCAAAAAAGCCCAAGCGACATGAAAAAAAAACAAAAAAAACCCAGGCATTTCTCTAACCCACCTCTGGCCAACTTGGCGCATATGATACGGGCACCACAGCATGGCACTTCTTGGGCTCCCCTTGGAGCACCGATGGGTTTATCCCACCTGGGGGAGGAGAGGAACCACCTGAGGAGGTTTCCTGTCACCTGGTGGTATTAAGAGGGGTGGGTGGGAGTGCCTCCCGACCACCTTGTTTCACTCACCACATTCACCTGCTGGGGGGGGGAGGGGTGATGTTGTAGTAGTAGCAGTAGTAGCAACAGCAACAACAGCACAGAACGAATTTAATTTTTTTCCCCCCCACACAGTCAACTGGCACATATCAGTCACGCTATGGACTCCGCCAGGGAAGGGAAAAACCCCTCCCTTGGCTGGAATCTGGAAAAAACAAAATATCCTTTCACACTCTTCCCCTCCCTCTCTTTCTTTCTCCCCCTCCTCCTCCCAAAACGAGTAAAATTCTGACGTTGTTGACATGATGATCCTGGAAAAAGGAAATGTAAACAATCTGCGTCAATGTGTCTATTAAGAGACCGCGGAAGAAGTCATGATTGGAAGGGGCCGGCGGTGACAATATTTAAATCCGAGAGTGGCCTGACTAAGCAGCAGAATTTTACTTCTGTAGTGAAATTGGCAAACGGTCGGCCTTAAGGTGAGGCGGCCTCTCTCACCTTGGAGGGGAATGCCTCTTCTTAAGGCAGGGCCAGAGATAGGTGTCTAAAAAAAGGTGCTTTCTGTTTTGGAACTGATTACGGGTGTGCAGAGGTAAGAAATGAACTGAAAAAGCATTGCACGGTGGGTTGAATTATTGAATTATCGTGTGTATTTAAAAGTTGTTGGGGAGAAGCTTCATTGCAGGAAGTGGGCTGGCATCAGGGCAGCTGCTTTGAAGGCATTTCCGCTCCCAAAGGTGCTTTTTTCAAGAGGCAACTGGACTTCCTTTGTTTTTCCTTGAAGATGTTTCACTTCTCGTCCAAGAAGCTTCTTCAGTTCTGACTGAATGACTAAATCCTTACATTCAGTCAGAACTGAAGAAGCTTCTTGGACAAGAAGCGAAACTTCTTCAAGGAAAAACAAAGCAACTATGGGACAACCATGACTTGGATGAATGAGAATCTACAGAGACAGTTGTGTTCTCAGGTGCTTTGTTTGAATGCCACCAGAGCACTCAAGAGCAGCGCACCGATTGGCCAGGACAGACCCTTCTCTCATGCAGCTGCCGGAGCCACAACTGATTCCAGATGTGCGGGGGAGATGGATTTAGGAATCTGGGAAGTGCTTTTAAGCTACAGCTGGGAGGAGCTGATATGAAACCGTAACATGTTGATGGCTATCGAATGGATCACTCCTCAGCTTTGCAGGATTGTTGGATGATCGGAAAAAAAGAGATTGGCAAATGGGTGAAAAATGAGACCAGCAGATTATCATGAAAGTTCCTGGACCTTTGAACCAGAAGGTGCTTCTCAGGATCCAAAAAGGAGCCCTTGAAAAGTACCAAGTATCGATCACAAACTGATTAATGACAGTCTCCTTTTTTTTTTAGAAGAACTAGAGCGTGGGTGGCTACGATCTTCCTGGCAGTTTGCAATAGAAATGATAAAAGTTCCTATATGTGTTATTTGCTCAAACTAAAGTTCATTTAGGGTTGTGTTTTAACAACTACGAAGAGCTATTTAAAAAACAAGTTGAGAATATGCCATTTCCCTAAACTCCAGTCCTCGCTGACTACAGTGCTCCCTTCTAATTCAGTAAGAACTGGATTAAAAATGGAAGTAAATGTAATGTAATTCACAAGGGCTAGGGCCCCCAAATTCTGCAAAACAGACTTGGGATGTTGGAATAGTGCTTTTGTCCTAATGCAGTGGTCCCCAAACTCCACAAGTCTTAAAGTTGCACAAATCTTAAAGTTACCAAGTTTGGAGACCTCTGTCCTAATGAATGATATGAGCGCAGAGTTATTTTCTTAGAGTGGATTGGTTGGAAGAATCCAGTTCCTCTTCTAATCTCTGGTTCTGGATAATCCTGGTCAGAGAAAGGCATTGGGGAAAGGAATCCCAGTTGGGGAAGGAAATCAAAGTTGTGGGAGCTTCATCCCTGGAGGCTTTCAAGAAGAGACTGGCTGCCATTTGTCAGAAATGATGTAGGGTCTCCTGCTTGGGGGGGGGTTGGACTAGATGACCTCCAAGGTCCCTTCCAACTCTGTTAATCTGTTAAAGCTTCTAATTGGCACTTTTCACCCAAATGTAGAATAAGGAAAAGGAGCACAAATTCCAAAACTCTGAAGGTCTTTCCATAAAGAGCCATTAGATCAAAAATATTTTTGTTCCAGCAAGATAGACTTTGGTTGAACTTTAGGAAGAAGTTTTTTTACACAGTGGAACAAGTTAAGGATGGGACCAGTTGCTTGGAAACTGATGGGCTTGGAGCTCTTTGAACATTGTCCAGACAGCCAGTGGGGGGATGCTTTGATCTTCCTGTAGGAAGCAATGCATTCAAATAGGCAGCCTGCAAAGACCTCGCAGCTGTGAGACTAATATTGTGTTGTTGAGCAAACCACGTTAGCTGGGCTTAAGCAAGAGAGCAGAAGAAGACAAAGTGTTGTCATTGTAGCCATTCTATGATACCTGTTAATTTTTACTCCCCAGAGGCCCATAAATCTCAGAAAAAAATGCAAAGGCCAGCAACCACATGATTACGAACTGATAAGCTAGAGGAAAAATAAAGAACAGCTGTGAACAAGGGAGCATTGACTAGCAGAGAAGCACTGATACAGATGTTTGAACTATGTTCACCCCAAGAAAAAATAACTCTGAAAACAAATCATAGCAAAGTAGGGCAAAGAATTGGGAGAAAAGGAGATTCAAGGATATGATCATAAGGAATTTTTCTTTTTTAATTACCTTTTCTTTGTGTCTGGAAGAGAATTTAAGAACACTTTGAGAGACAGGTGAAATGCTGCCTAAGGAACATTCTGAGAAGAGACAGCTTAGCCCTCAACTGGAAAACAGGTAGAGAAAGACACGGAGGAGACCCTCTCCCTAGTTTCTCAGTTTGTAAAGGAGACAATGGGAGATTTGTACTTTCAGACCTGCGAGATTCTTTTATTGTAGCCTTACAATGAATCTCATTTGGTTGTGATTCCTGAAAAGCTGGATTTACCTGAGAGAGGGCTCTTACTTAAGCCCAAGTGACATGGAAGTGGCCAGCCAAATCAGATTCGCTGGTTCCTTCTTAAGGACCACTTAAAAAAACCCCGAAATTCTTGCTTGCTACACTGGTGAGCCTGCTGCATTTGTTTTTTTTATTACCTGGCTTTCTTTCACCAGGTGTATTTTCCTGCAGATGGGTTTATGAAGAATGGGTGGGATTTAGGCCTAGTGTGCTTAAAACTAGGAGAAGGTGCAGAAAAAGCGTTGGTAAGCTATGTACTTGAACAGCCTACATGTGGAATGATGGGGTGATAAAGAGTATGAATTGGATGTAATAAGGGGAGTAGAAGATTAGGCCAGGGGTCTCCAACCTTGGCCACTTTAAGACTTGTGGACCTCAACGCCCAGAGTTCCTCAGACAGCTTTGCTGGGAGTTGAAGTCCACAAGTCTTAAAGTGGCCAAGGTTGGAGACCCCTGGACTAGACAACCTTGAGTGGCTGTGGATGACCTGGTATGATACAGCTGCCCTGTTTTCGACTTTGGAATTGCCTCAAAGGTGATTTCAAGGCCTCAGAAATATTCTCCTTATATATAGCTAGTCTACCCTTTGAGATGTGAAGAAATTCATTATGAGGTCTGAAAGAATTCTTGCTACTACGAAAGCAACATAAGCCACGAGTCGATAGTTCTTTTTTTGGAGAATCTTGAGCACCATTAAGCCTGGGGGACAAACACATCCTAGGCAGAGGGTTTCTGCCTACTCTTGGTTGACCATCTTACTCCTCCCACATCACACACTCTTATCATTCTCTTCTAGATGCGCTGGTACCCTCCTTCTGACGCTACCCAACAAGGATGGAAGTCCCGGCAATTCTGTTAGTTTTAGTGAGTATCAGGTTACTCTAGGAGTCCTGCGTGTGGGTGGAGAAGACATGAGCTTCTCTAGTGGGGTTCTTTTCAGCCAGTGGAAGGCTAGAAAACGGCCTGGGAAATGGGTGGTCGATGCACCTGTCCTCCATGCATGCCGGTGGGGCTATGATGAAAGACGTCTGGAGTTAGCCTTCATAATATGTTCTCTTGCTTTTTCCAAGAGCTGCTTTTGGCCCACATTTCCCCCTCTTGTCTCTCCATGGACTGATGCATGAAGGACGAAGGAGTCTTTGGGAACCTCTTGTCCCGGCCTTTTCCCCTCCCGGACACCATCAAAAGTGCCGAACTTCACTTGGCCGTCTTATGAATGAAGCTATGGATTTCCCCCTCCAAAACTGTGAACGTCAAACTCCTCCGTCTCTTCCCCTTCTCCCAACTCCCACCCACCCCCTCCTGTTGCTGAGTTCCTCCTCCTGCTTACCTTTTGAGTCCTTTCAGGAGAAACTCAACCTTGTTGATACATCCGCTTTGGTGTGGGCGGTGCGTGTACGTATGTTCCCAGCTGGGATGCTGGCACGCCGTGCGGCCTAGCTGCGTACAGTGCAATATCCAAACTTTTCTTATCCAGAACCTTGTGTATGCAGTTTTGCTGAAGGAAAGCAAAAAGACAATTCAGTTTTGCATGTTTTCTGGCATGACTTTAAAACACTTTAACTTGGTGGGTGTGTTGAGTGTGCAGAATTCGTTTTTGGGTCTAGCATTTGTGTAACCATAGCTGTAGATCTTGGACTAACTATCGATCACTAAACTTTTTTTTTCATCTTGCTTCTGTCAAGATTTGGCTTTTGGAAAAAAACTAAACCCTCTCTGTCTTTTCTCTTTTCCTCTTCTCTTCCTCCTCCTCCTCCTCCTCCTCCTCCTCCTCCTCCAGGGTATCTTTCTCTGTTCAGCCTTGACTAGAATTTGAAATTAAAAATTTTCTTCTCCAAAGTACAGTGCACTGGGTTTCCGGTTCATTTTGCCCTTCCCCAATTTAAGTCAGGGTTATTGGTTTTTTTTTGTGTGTGTTGGTGTTTTTCTGTCAAACCTCTATCTGTAGAACAGCTGTAAAATATTTCACCTTTTCCTTCCACATCCTTTGGATTGGAAAGAATCCAGTCTTGCCAAATCAGCAATCCTTATGGGAATACCGAACAAAGATGTAGGAGTATTTTTGTACCATGTGTAATAAGGAAATATTTATGCATCATGCAAAGATTTTGTGTGGTTTTTGTGCAATTAATTATTAAAGAGTAAAAAAAAAATAACTGTAATCTGTAAAATGAGTTTAATGTTTAGTTAAAAGCTTGAAGAGAAAGACTTTTTTTTCTGTAACTGATTCAGTCAGGCATAGTAACGAGAAATTGCACATATTTTTTGTTGTTGATATTTTATTGCTTGGTATTTGAAAGTCCTTTAAGTATTACCTTGAAACCATGGCTGTCTCGCTTGTATCAAGATTGTTGAATAAGTTGCTATATCCTTTGAGAATGTGAAACTGGATAATATATGAATTGTACTCAGTGGCGTGTTGGTAGATTCTTTGATGCGTGGAAGGGTTTTTTTTCATTCTTTGCACTTACCTGGGAAAATGAGGTTGAGGGAAGAGGGCTGCATTGGTCTACGGTTGAACGTACATCTTCAACCCATCTTTAAAATGTGCCCTCTTGGAGATGATAAATCTGTATGTGATCCAATACCACCAAAGTGTAGAATGCAAAGTCTCAGAACATTTGGATAAATATTGATGTTAGAAATAGAATGTTGTTTATTTATTGATTTTAGATTCCCTCTTTCTAAGTCTTGACTTGCCTGAGAAATAGATTAAGCTGAGACACAATGGATAGCCCCAAATCACTCATCTAAAGGTGGATCTCAACGTGGGTTTCCTTACTCCTAGCCTTAACCACTACACCGCACCGGTTTTAAAGACCTACCAAAAGTCTCATGGAAAGTAGTTCTCCAACGAAAGACATTTACTAGTAAAATTAGGAAAGAGATTTCGAGAATAGCCATTGTCCCTCAAAAAGAATGTGAAGGATGTGTGCTTGTGTTTTATTTTTATAGTTATAATGTACACTGAAGATTAAAGGGATGTGGTGGCTCAGTGGCTAAGATGCTGAGCTTGTCAATCAGAAAGGTCAGCAGTTCGGCGTGTAACGGAGTGAGCTCCCCTTACTTGTCCCAGCTTCTGCCAACCCAGCAGTTCGAAAGCAGGTAAAAAATGCAAGTAGAAAAATAGAGACCATTTTGGTGGGAAGATAACAGCGTTCCGTGCGCCTTCGGCGTTTAGTCATGCCAGCCACATGACCATGGAGACGTCTTCGGACAGCGCTGGCTCTTCGGTTTTGTAACAGAGATGAGCACCGCCTCCTAGAGCCAGAAACAACAAGCACCTATGTGCAAGGGGAACCTTTACCTTTACATTGAAGATGGCATTTAAGTTCGTAGTACGAGGTGCAATGACAATAAAGTAAAGTAAAAGCATATAATCAAATTTCAAGTTGTTAGTGTCCACAAAATCATCAGTGGAGGTGCCACATCCCATGGTACTCTTCATGTCAGATAAGCCACATCTGTTCCTACCAAATTAAAAAAAAAATCAGGTATCAAACATTAAAAAAAACTATCTCCATTGGGCAAAGGTAAGTTCTATCTTCAGCACTTTGCAGTTCTCTGAAGGCTAAACATTTCAGTGGGGATGAGCTAATCAGCCATCACAACGGAGCTCAAAATTTCTCTTAAGGGAAAATCCCTGCAGTTGATAAGTTAGTAACTCGGTCGTTAAGTGAAACTGGCTTCCTCATTGAGGAACACTGCCACTGTCATAAATACGAGTCAGTTGTCAAGTGTCTGAATTTTGATCACATGAGATTCCACAAAGGTCCGTAAACTGTGAGAAAGGGTCACAAGTCACTTTTTTCAGGACTGTTGTAACTTTGAATGGCCGCTAAACAAACTACTGGGATCAAGGATTACCTGTATACCTGAAAAAAGCGTTGAAAAAAATTCACAAACTCTCATTAAGGGCTCTCGCAAGACTTCCGTTCTACAAACCAACACCAGCATTACCTAAGATTTAAACAAAATGTAGGACTCCGTAAAATATGGCTTAATATAACGGGTGATCTTTTTTTCTATTTTTTTGCCTTGGGTTGTAATGATTTGGCCCCTTCTATTTTTCCCCTGTTTAGTGTGACTTTTTTTTTTTAAAAGTTGGCCTGTTGTTTCTTTCCTAGTTTCCAGAATATTTTGCCCTGATATACAGTAAATTGTCTTCCCTCTGTGTCTGCTGGGAGTTGGATTGTATGGAGGCAGCTGCTCCATTAAGCAGGCAACTTGGACTGTAGTCATCCCAAGCAAGCAATGCTTGATGAATAAATGATAACTTTTAGTCAAGTTGAAACAATTGCTTAGCCAACCGGCATTTTCATGGCTGCAAAGGAAGTTGCTTTATTGCTGCATTCAAGGACCTTCCTAGATTTGAACAGAGGTTGTGTGTGCTGCCATAGGGAAATTTGCAGTAAACAGCGAAGGAAATGAATGTAACAAAAAATTATATTTATAGACTTGCATAATCATTTTAATTCTTGTCTATCTGCACTCCGATTAAAAAAAAAAAAAGCAATTTGGGTCATCTTCAACTTACAACAGGAATTGAGCCTGGAATTACGGCCTCACGTGACTGGATTTCAAGTTGCAACAGGTTGTGTTTTTTTTTGGTGATAGTTAAATAGATCCATTTTCCTCAATGGACATTTTTTTTTCCCTGGAAACGGGAAGTACAAGCTGGAAACTGACCAAAAACAAAATAGAAAATTGAAGTCACATGACCACAGGAAACAAACACCCGTGAAGGTGAGCCAGGTTGCCAGGCACCCAAAATGTGATCACACATGACTACGGGATGGTATTCAGCCACCGTAACTTCATAACCAGGTCATGGGTAGCTCGAGGGAGATTGGTTGTAACTTTGGTCGCTAAACGACATCGTAACCTGAGGACTTAACTGTAAAATTAACTCAATCAAAATAATGAGGAAACAAGCCCAACAGAACTCTGATGCCATCCTCAATAGTAGCCACAATTTAGTGTCAAAAAACTCCTACCAAAGAGTTATCTCTTCACAAACATATAGGACGGTTCAAAGGCCACGGATCTTGTGTTGAGTTTTCAAATGCTGCTCTCCTTTTCAGCTTGATTTAGATTCTGTTATGTTTTTATAGTTTGTGCTCTCCTTATCTGTCGTAGCTGCATTTCCACATGGTAAACCACAACGGTTAATTTGGGTTTTCATGTCATCGGGCCCCAAGTGTGTGAACTTATCAAGAGCTAGAGGCTAGCCTGGAGGCTGTCCGTGGAACATGGAATGGCTTCCCCAAGTTCTAAATGAAGGTGGTTTCCCCAAATTTAAAGTGGCACCCATTCCAGAGGACATGCTAAGTCTTGGATGGGTGTCCTTCTGTACTTGTCGGAGCCATGCAGGGCACAAAGCTACTCTCACTAACTTGTTTCTGTAACTTAACTTTGTGTGGAAGAAGGGACCATAAGCTTGCTTTAGAAGGGAATTCCTGAGGCACTAAATTTAGTCTTTGAAGTGGGGGCCTCCAACTGCTCTCCTTGTAGAGTAGAGTAGAGTAGAATAATTCTTTATTGGCCAAGTGTGATTGGACACACAAGGAATTTGTCTCCGGTGCATATGCTCTCAGTGTACATAAAGGAAAAATAAAATACATTCATCAAGAATCATAAGATACAGCACTTAGTGATAGTCATAGAATACTAAATAAGGAATCAAATCATACTAGGAAACAAAACAACATAAATTGTAAAGATACAAGCAACACAGTTATAGTCATAAGTGGGAAGAGATAGGTAATAGGAAGGATGAGAAGAATAATAGTAATACAGTCTTACTAAGTAGTTTGACAGTGTTATGGGAATTAGTTGTTTAGCAGAGTGATGGCGTTTAGGAAAAAACTCCTTGTGTCTAGTTGTTCTGGTGTGCAGTGCTCTATAGCAGTGATCCCCAACCTTTTTTACGCCGCGGCCCGGTATCCCCAACCTTTTTTATGGCGCGGCCCGGTACCGGCATTAGCTGGGCGCCACCATCTTTTTTTGATGAAAAAGTGCTTCCGGTGAGCTTTCTACCCAGAAAAGCTCACCGGAAGCACTTTTTCATCAAAAAAAGATGGCGGCGCCCAGCAAGCCAGCGGCCCGGTAGGACTTGTTCCACGGACCGGTACCGGTCCGCGGACCGGTGGTTGGGGACCCCTGCTCTATAGCATTGTTTTAAGGGTAGAAGTTGAAACAATTTATGTCCAGGATGTGTGGGGGTCTGTAAATATTTTCACAGCCCTTTTTTTGACTTGTGCAGTATACAGGTCCTCAATAGAAGGCAGGTTAATAGTAATTGTTTTTTCTGCAGTTCTAATTATCCGTCGAAGTCTGTGTCGGTCCTGTTTGGTTGCAGAGCCAAACTTTTGGGTGTTGACTGCAAGAACAAGAGAGAAAACAGAGCAAAACATTGTTCTAAAGCAGCCGTTGGAAGCAAAAGCTTGAGCTATTTTTCAAAACTCTTTAATGGGAAGAAGAGATCCAAAGTCTATATATCAACAGAAAAGAATGTCTCATCATCTAGGGCAGTGGTAGTCAACCTGGTCCCTACTGCCCACTAGTGGGCATTCCAGCTTTCATGGTGGGCGGTAGGAGTTTTGTCCCCTACTTTATAAATCACCATTACTGTGGAACCGGTGGGCGGTTTAGAGAAAATTTTACTATTAACAGTGATACAAAAGTGGGCAGTAGGTATAAAAAGGTTGACTACCCCTGATCTAGGGTTTCATGACCTTGAAGAGATGTTGGAATCAGAAGAAATCCTCAAGGCATAACAGCTTTTAACGTTTATCCACTGCATTTATGGTCAGAGTGACTGAGTCATGCGCACACTATGGCTCACAAAATCCAACCCAAACTCCATGGCAGTTTAGTATGTTGAGCCAAGGGATGTGTAGAAGTAGGAACAACCATAAAAAGAATGACAACACAAAGATTATGGTTCCACCATGACGGTGAAGAAAAGATTCTAAAGAAGTCAATTCAACTTTGAGTTGCTTTTCTTGAGGAACATTTTCACACACATTTTCTTAACTGTGTTACTGGTCTGTTTTGCATATTGACATCTACACTAATTAATAAGCAGGTTTCTTCTTGAGAAGAATATTTTTCCAGCCCTTTACTATCTGAGCATT